AAAAAAAAAAAAAAAATGGGGGGGCCAGCAGTTGGCATAATGGCTATGTCGCTGGAATCCCACGTAGTCGACAGCGGTTCAAGTCCCGGACCCGGTGGCTTAAACTCACACTGGGCACATGTGTATGCGTGCCCAAGATCCCAAGAGGAGAATGGAGAAAGGATTGTGGCGTGGCCTTCCCCCCCGGGGGGTGATTTCTCACTTTCTGTCTCTCTGACAATTGCACATGCCCCATAGCAAAAACCTCTCAAAACAAAACAAAACAAAACAAAAAAAACACCAGGCACAATGTGTACACACATACCCAAAATCCTGAAAAGAAAATGGAGACAAGATTGCAGTGTGGCCATCCCCCCTAGGAAATGATTCCCCACTTTCTCTCTTTCTGTCTCTCGGGGAAGTGCATGCATCCTATAGTAAAAATCTCCCACAGTAACCATACTAATAATAAACAACACATGAGAAAGTGCTCAAGATGATTAGTTATCGAGAAAATGCAATTAAAATCAAAATGAGAATTCTTACATACACACCAAAATGGCTACACTTAAAAAGTTGGAAATGAGGTCAACAAGTAATCTCAGACCCAGAGGTTTGAAACTCACACCAGGTGCATGTGTGTGCATGCTCAGTTCCCAAGAGGAAAACAGAGAAGAGACTGTGGTGTGGCCATCCCCCCAGGGGGTTATTTCTCACTTTCTCTCTGTCTCTCCAGCAAATGCACATGCCCTATAGCAAAAATCTCTCAGGATAAAAAAAGTCTGACACACACTAAATGTTGAATAGAATGTAGAGTAATCAGTTCACTGACAAACCATTGGTGCGTGTTTAAAAATGTACAATCCCTTGGAAAACATCCAGAGAATTACCTATAAAACCAATTATGTACTTATATATTTACATAAAATAATACAAGCGTATGTCTACAAAGACTCATACAAAATGTTCACCATAGCCAAACTATTTATAGCAATCTAAAATTAGAAAAACTATAGGTGATCAACAACAGAAAAATGGTATCTGAAGCAACATGGATGAATCTTGAGATTATGCTGAAAGAAGTTTTTCTAAAGATACATGTTATATACTCCATTTGTATGAAATTCAAATACAAGTAAAACTAATCTCACTGGGAAAAATAACCAAAATAGTGTTCGCCCTCTGTGGCAAAAGAACTGAAATTAGAAAGAGCTTAAGAGGCTCCTGAAGGTGGTGTGGTGGTTAAGAGTGCTGGAATCCGACATGGCTGACCGTGGTTTGAGTCCTAAACTGGCGACTTGCTTTCTCACTTTTCCTCACTCTCCCTCTCTCTCTCTCCCCCCTTCTCTGGTTAAATTAAAACAAACAAACAAATAAATAAAGTTAAATAAAATAATTCTTTAAAAGAAAAAAGAGCATAAGAAAAATGCCCAGGCTAACAGACTAAAGAATCTGTGAAAATCAAAGGCTGGGCAAATCACATGATGCATTCTGTAGGTCAAAACTGGCCCACCATATGTTTTGTTTTGTTTTTGTCTGTTGGTTTTTAAGAATTTTTTATTTATTTTATTTGTTATTTAATTTAACCAGAGAAAGAGAGGGAAGGACAAAGTGAGAAAGCAGGTTGCCAGGGACTCGAACCATGGTTGTCCATGTGATGGGCCAGTTTTGGGTCCAATAGGTGGCATGGTGGTTAAGGTACTGGACTCTCACATGGCCACCATGTCACCTACTGGACCCAAAACTTGCACATCAGTTGTTTCTGAAAATGAAATTTTATTGGAATACAGCCAAACCCATTCATTTAAATATTGTCCCTCCCCTGCCACAACAGCAGAACTGAAGAGCTGTCACAGAGACCCCTTAAGTTCTCATTAAGTTTCTTCAGAAACCTCATGACATGAAAAGCCAAAAACATTTGCATATAGTCCTATAAAGAGTCTGTAAACTCCTGGGAAAAATCCATAAAATCGTTCATAAAATATAAATTTTATATGAAAAGAATAACCATAAACAAATACTAAACTGTAGTTGGTGATATATATGCTAAGTATTTAGGGTAAAATGACTCCCATCTGAAACTCATTTATATTTTCTTGAGAGGTTTTTGCTATAGGGCGCATGCACTCACCAGAAAGACAGGGAGACAGAAAGCGAGAAATCAGTCCCTGGGGGGATGGCCATGCTGCAATCCCATCTCCTCCACTCTCCTCTCAGGATCGTGGGCACGCACACACACATGCCCGGCGTGAGTTTAAGCCACCGGGTCCGGGACTCAAACCACGGTCGACTATGTGGGAGTCCAGCGACAAAGCCATTACGCTAACTGCTGGTCCCTGAAACTCATTTTATAGTGGTTCAAAATTTAAATGAAGTGACAGATGGCTAAAGAGATAGATAAATGACAAAGCTATTTAATAAAATGTTTACTGCTGAGTCTAGTTTGTGGATACTTGAGTGTCCATTGTAAAGTTCACAGCTCACCATAATAAAGTATAAAATAGTGTTCTAATTGTAATAACTAAATGCAGCCTTCCTACTAGGAAGTTAGAGACCGTATCTAATATTTTAAAAAACAAAAAAGAAATAGAATAATCATGTATTTAAACTTATAACTATTAAAGAAAACTCTTAAAAATTGAAAATGTTTGTTCTTAGGGAACACAAAACAAGGAGTGGTTTGAAAGAAAAGTGCTATTTTTTTGTTTAAAGCCTTAGAAAGACATTTGATTTTTTTAAAGCCATGAAGCTGCATTGCTCTGATAAAAATAAGCTTAAAAATTAAATGATGTCAGGACCAGCAGTTAGCGTAATGGCTATGTTGCTGGACTTCCACGTAGTCGACTGCAGTTCTGAGTCCCAGACCAGGTGGCTTAAACTCATGCTGGGCACATGTGCGTGTGTGCCCAAAATCCCAAAAGGAGAATGGAGAAGGGACTGTGACGTGTCCATCCCCCCTGGGGGGTGATTTCTCTCTTTCTTTCTCTCTGTTTCTCTCTTTCTGGTGAGCGCACACACCCTATAACAAAAACCTCTCCAAAAAAAATAATTTAATGATGTCTTTTTTTTTTTTATTTTAACCAAGAACTACTAATAAAATAATAGACTACTTATTTTTTTAAATGAAGGTAAAGGGGCCAATCCATGGTATGGTGGTTAAGGCAAACTACACGTTTCAAGTTCTGGACTTGGAAGCTTGAGAATCACTCCAGGCACATGTGTGTGAGAGCCCAAAATCCCAAAAGGCAGAAGACAGAAGAGATTGAAGCATCAGCATTACTCATGGGAGGTAATTTCTCACTTTCCCTCTCTCTGTCTCTCTCTGGAGAGCATAAGCATTCTCTGGCAAAAATGTTTAAAATGAGAAGAAGAAATAGGGGGAAAAAATGGCAACAACACAGGTTTTCAACATTTTTCTGAAAATTACATAACTGTTCTGTCATAAAGAGTACCCATTATTTATCAAAAGCACTTGCTCTGTTTTTTTTAGAGGTTTTTGCCAGTGTTCTAATTGTAATAACTAAATGCAGCCTTCCTACTAGGAAGTTAGAGACCGTATCTAATATTTTAAAAAACAAAAAAGAAATAGAATAATCATGTATTTAAACTTATAACTATTAAAGAAAACTCTTAAAAATTGAAAATGTTTGTTCTTAGGGAACACAAAACAAGGAGTGGTTTGAAAGAAAAGTGCTATTTTTTTGTTTAAAGCCTTAGAAAGACATTTGATTTTTTTAAAGCCATGAAGCTGCATTGCTCTGATAAAAATAAGCTTAAAAATTAAATGATGTCAGGACCAGCAGTTAGCGTAATGGCTATGTTGCTGGACTTCCACGTAGTCGACTGCAGTTCTGAGTCCCAGACCAGGTGGCTTAAACTCATGCTGGGCACATGTGCGTGTGTGCCCAAAATCCCAAAAGGAGAATGGAGAAGGGACTGTGACGTGTCCATCCCCCCTGGGGGGTGATTTCTCTCTTTCTTTCTCTCTGTTTCTCTCTTTCTGGTGAGCGCACACACCCTATAACAAAAACCTCTCCAAAAAAAATAATTTAATGATGTCTTTTTTTTTTTTATTTTAACCAAGAACTACTAATAAAATAATAGACTACTTATTTTTTTAAATGAAGGTAAAGGGGCCAATCCATGGTATGGTGGTTAAGGCAAACTACACGTTTCAAGTTCTGGACTTGGAAGCTTGAGAATCACTCCAGGCACATGTGTGTGAGAGCCCAAAATCCCAAAAGGCAGAAGACAGAAGAGATTGAAGCATCAGCATTACTCATGGGAGGTAATTTCTCACTTTCCCTCTCTCTGTCTCTCTCTGGAGAGCATAAGCATTCTCTGGCAAAAATGTTTAAAATGAGAAGAAGAAATAGGGGGAAAAAATGGCAACAACACAGGTTTTCAACATTTTTCTGAAAATTACATAACTGTTCTGTCATAAAGAGTACCCATTATTTATCAAAAGCACTTGCTCTGTTTTTTTTAGAGGTTTTTGCCTTAGGGTGAGTGTGCTCACCTAAGAAAGAGAAAGACAGAGACAGTGGTAGGGAGTGTGAGAAATCACCTCTCACAGGGGATGGCCACACCACAATCCCTTCTCCACCATTCCCCTCCCAGGATTTTGGGCATGGATGCATACACGCCCAGCATGAGTTTCAAGCCACTGGATCTGGGACCCGAACTACCGTCAGCCAGGGGAAATCCAGTGATATAACCACTACGCCATCTGCTAGTCCCAAAAGCATTTAAGTTCTTACACTTTGATACTTTAACATACTACTAGTCTACTAGAGCTCATCGTGACTAGATGGTCTTAAAGATGATCTTACCAACTTAATAATAAAGTCTTTTACCCATAACAAATTTTATAAAGAATAAAGCATGCTCTGTAAGTAGGTATAATAAAAATGTTGTCATTACGTTTCTTCAAAAACTTCCTCAATGAAATTGCAATTTATACTTACCAAAAGAAAATAATGGTCTTCAGGTTCTGCCCTTAAATATTTAAAGATTACTTGCTCCATAAACCTTTCCATCAAGTCCCAATCTTCAACGATACCATGGCGAATTGGCCACTATTAAAACAAAATGAGAAAACACAAATTAAATCTTATTAATATCAAAAATAAAAACTACAAAGAAAAAGAAAACCCTTGGCATATTAGATTATGGATACTAGATAAGGATATACTTAAGATACGAAAATTACACTGTAGATTTCCTTAGCAGATACATATTTAAGTATCTGGAGGTAAATAAAATTATTTCTATAATGTATTATCAGATGTTTAATAAAAAATATATAGTAAATATGTTAGAATATTGAAAACTGTTAAATCTAGATGAACATCTCCAATCACCAAATGCAAAATCTGAAATGCTCAAAATTTTGAAACTTTTTGAGCTCTGACATGATGCCCCCAAGGGAAAAAATTACACACTTAACCTCACATGACAGGTCACAGACAAAATGCTATAAAAATATTGTAGAAAATTACCTTCAGGATATGCATAGAAGGTGTAAACTATAAATAAAGTTTGGGTTTAGATCTGCATCCCATCCCAAGATACCTTACTATGGGTATGCCAATATTTCAAAACCTGAAAAAAAAAATCACTAACCCAAAATACTTCTGAGTCTCAAGCATCTCATACAAGTGATAGTCAACCTATTCTTTCTAGATTTTTAAAAATTTAACCCATTAAAATGAAGTCTACGAAGGCCCAGGCCTAGTCGTAGTAATATAAGTAAAAGCACACTGCTCTACAATGCTTGAGTCACATAGCAGATCAGAGTTCTGATCCCAGACTGGGCTGAAATAAGCCAGGGTGGGCACACATGAATCGAGACACACAATCTTGGCTGGCTAGAATACTGGGGGAAGGGATCATAGCACGATGAGATCCTGGTATGTCTGCTTGTCTCTGTCTCACTCTCAAGTGCTCTCTCTCATGAATGAACTGCTGATAAATGAACTTAAAAACAACAACAACCGGGAACCAGCAGTTAGCGTAATGGCTATGTCGCTGGACTCCCACGTAGTCGACCGCGGTTCGTGTCCCGGACCCGGTGGCTTGAAACTCACGCCGGGCGCGTGTGCGTGCGTGCCCAAGATCCTGAGAGGAGAATGGAGGAGAAGGGATTGCGGCGTGACCATCCCCCCTGGGGGGTGATTTCTCGCTTTCTGTCTCTATGTCTCTCTCTGTCTGTCTGGCGAGCGCACGCGCCCTACAGTGAAAATCTCTCCAAAAAAAAAAAAAAAAAAAACCCAACAACAACAACCACCACCACCACCACCACCACCACCTAAGGGTTTGCAGAAAGGCTCTTTCCTTTCCATGTGGCAGTAGCAATCAGGTAAGCCAAGATGGGTACATACAAGTACATCAGGAGCTCTGGAAGAAGAAGTAGTCTGATGTGATGTGCTTTCTTCTGAGGGTCTGCTGCTGGCAGTACTGCCAGCTCTCAGCGCTACACCAGGTTCCCCACCCCACCCAGCCAGATAAAATATGCATAATGCTAAATAATGTTAAATTCCTTTTGATGGGATACAAGGCAAAGCGAGCTTAAGTCATTTACAGGATTAGTGTGGGTCATTGAGGCCATAAACACCCAGTCCCCAAAAGTACAACCTATGGCAAAGCCTGTCCATCATGGTGTTAACAAGCTCAAGTTTACTTGAAGCCTCCAGTCTGCTGCAGAGGAGTGAGCTGGACGCCACTGTGGGGCTATTAGAGTCCTGAATTCTTACTGGGTGGGTGAAGATTTTATATATAAATTCTTTGAGGTTATTCTCATTGATCCATTCCATAAAGCTATCAGAAGAAACTCTGACACCCAGTGTATTACCAAACCAGCCCACAAGCACAGGGAGATGCGTGGGCTGACACCTGCTGTTCAAAGAGCCGAGGCCTTGGAAAGGGCCACAAGTTCATACTATTGGTGGTTCTCACCATGCAGCTTGAAGAAGGTGCAATACTCCCTAGCTCCACCATTACCACCAATCTAAGAAATGTTTGTAAAATTCGGACCTAATATACAATTTAAGACAGTCAAAAAAAAAAAAAAAAAGTCTATGAAAATCATAGTCTCTCAAAACTTGTTAATTTATTAGCTAATTAGTATTAATTAGCTCAAATATGTATGTGACTAATATATAAAATATGCTTTGTAAGTAAATAACTAGAATAATCATAAAAATTAATAATGGAAAATTTTTATAAAAGAAGTTATATATTTGTATAAACTATGGTTTTAAAACTGTGTGCCAAGGTGCCCCAGTTTACCATAGCAAATTCATAAGAACATCACAAAGTATTTTAAATTTTCCCAGGGAAGAACAGTGATACTCAATATCAACTGGATACTACATGAACTACTTAATCTAAGTAGGTCAGTTTCAATACTAGATCATGTTAAATTCCTTTCGATGACATTATTTCATTGAAAAGTTGGGTTGACAATAACTGCTGTGATAAAAACCTAGTACACACAAAAAGAAAAAAAAAATCCATGTAGAACAAGAAAGGAGGATAGCAGTCAGTGTCCAATCTGCTCCCAGGTTTGAGAAGTTCTGCAGTGTCTAACACACATAAGCATCCTAATAGTAACTGTGATTATTTAACAAACAAAAAAATTTTTTTTTTACTTTCAGTGTCTTATTTTTTTCCAAATGAGTAGTAAGGTGCCTGGACCTAGCTACTTAATAAAAAGACTATTAAATATAACTTTTTATCTAGGTGGAAAATGTCACTCTGACACTAAAGGTGCTCAAAAAGTTTGTGACCCTCTGTAACAGAATACAGTTTCGTGAACACAGTACACATCTAATACCTCAGGCTGAATGAATTTATGAATGAACACATAAATATGAAGCCCTAATATCTACTCACTCTAGCCTCTTCAACACTTTTTAAAGTATCACACATAAAATAACTTCTACTTCCCAGTTTGCTTTAAGGATGGGAAGAATGTACTTAACTACATCATTCATTTTATAGCCCTATTGGAAGTCTACTAATGTAAATGTTCTAAGTGTCACTTATTCATCAGTAATTATTGTGCACCTACTGGCACAAATATAAGGACATAAACATCCCGCCCACAAGAAACTCAGTCTATTGAAAAAAATATAGGCAAACAAATATTAACATTGTAAGTTTTTTAAGTTCCTAGGATAGGATGTCCTATTTGGCTTGTGAGGGAAAATAGGAAGGCTACACCGAGGAAGACATAGAAGCAACCTTTTAATTTGGGAAGGTTGGCAAGGCATACAGATAAAACAGAATAATTTATATATAAACCAAAAAGGCTGGAAGAAGAGTGTAGAGAAATACACTAGTTCTCTATCAAGGGGACCAGATTCTCAGAAACCTTCTTTGTCTTGCATTTGGGTTTTACTCTATAAAAAGTTAGATATCAGTAGAAAATTTTAATCATGGAATTATGAAATACTTTTAATTTTTAGGAAGATTATTATAGCACCATCAGGTAAGCTGAAATGAATCCTAAGAAAACCAAGCAAAAGAAAACAAAAAGTCCCAATTGTGGTATGGATAATGTTGGGCCACATTAAAGATTTCTCAGTCAACAGGAATGAGAAACAAAGTCAGATATGATATGTACAGGTTTCTAGCTTTGAAGTCAGGATGGACAGGATCCATTAATCAAAGCACAGTAACTACTTTTGTCTTGTACTGGATAAACAAGAGTGGAGTGTATATAATTAATTTTGTTTTGAATATATTAAGTTCTAGAGCCACAAATAGATAACCTAAAGTAAGGTAGCTGGATATGTGATCAAGGAGCAGAAGACCTAGGTTGTGTTTGTAGACAAAGGAGTAGCTGAGGTCACCTCAACGAAGTCTTCAAAGAATAAGTAAAAGAGAACTAAGGACTATATTTACAAAATACTAACATCTGAGTAGTGCACCAAGGAAGAAGCACCAGTGACAATAATAAAAGTAAAAGCAGAAAGAATAGTCCATATTAGGTAGAAAACCAATGGAGTAACCCAATGAAAGACAAATAAAGAAAGATGAAATATTGCATACAATTGGATTTAATAAAGAGCATAACAAATAATTTGTGACTCAAAGTATTATTTTAAAAGTAAAGAAGGAAATAAAACACCTAAATTACTAATGACAGGAGGTAGGAATAAAGTTTGTAAGAAGTTTGTTCTACTTTGTTTGTAGCATCTGGAAGACTTAAAAATACACTTAAAGATGAACATTAGTGGAGAGAAACTCTGTCTTTCAGCACATACACCTCATCACCGTCAATAATTTTTTTTTCCATTTCAGCCACAGTTTAAACCTAATCATTATCATTTCCAAATCCCTGAAATGCCAGTTAACACTACACTATCACAACCTCATATTATTCCAGCATACTCTACCACGTGTACTCTACCACTTCACTACATCTTTTGATCCATTTTCAATCCACTGACTATTCTAATTATTTCCTAGCCATCAACACTTAAACTACGTTTCATGCTCCATCACTTTAACTATTTAAATTATTTTAGTCATTCCATCTACCAAAATCTACCCTAGCATGATTCAACCATAAATTTGCCTGTACCCAGAATCCCGCTTATACTGAAGAAACATACATAAATGAAATGATAAAACTAAGCATCTATACTTGTTATTCTCAAATGGACATAACCTTACCTGAAAAACCTTTCTTT